ACTCCAGAAAGTTCTCTTAAATAATAAAATTTGATATACTTTATGGCAAGTACATTCCTACATATTGCAGTACAGAGTTTCACTTTCTTTGGTGACATAAACTGAGAAAAAACTCTGAAGATTTAAGCAAATTCTCGCTACGTGTTAGAAATTACAACAGAGACTTAGAAAGGTTGTAAAAGACTCTTTTATTAACTCAGATAGTTTACCAGAAGGCCCAGCTTGTGCTTGAAAAAACAGCCAGTATTTATGACGTAAATCGAAAACAGCCAGTATTTATGGCGTAAATCAAAAACAACCAGTATTTATGGCGTAAATCAGAAACAGCCAGTATTCATGGTGTAAATAAAAAGTAACGAATTTAACTAAATAAAATGTAGTTAGAAATCAAAGACTACACGGTCAGAAAACGCTCATGTTGACTTATATCTAAACTCGGTAGAGAATCGTAATACCTAAACTCGGTAGGAACTCTAACGGGGAGAATAGAGCAACGCCGCAGATAAACTGCTCTCAAGAGAATTAATTCCCCAGCTTATGCTATGTTAAACTGTTATTCAATGGATTACTTGCAAAACTGGAAAGGGGAGAGCATGCCTTCCTGGGATATGTCTATAAAGAGAAACTGAATCGCATTTACATTATACAGTGGAAAATCCCCAAATCGGACGTGAAGCCAGCCCGCTAGCCGGAGTTTATCGTGAACAGAACTACCAGTGTTTAGCAGTGTTATCTGTTCGGCCTTGGGTAGGCATAAGGGATAAAATTGCAAAGTCAGGAAATATAAAATTGCACGAAATAGGACAATGGCTGAAAAATATTAATTTTGCTTTGAAAATGCTAATTTATCTAAAAAAATGAATTTGTGAAATTTACATTCAGCTATCAGAGTTTTGCACTCAATTATGCTTCATTATTATTGCACTTGATTGCAAGGTTTCCATGACTTCTTTTTCTCATTATACACTTTATAAATGCATAATTTGAAATATCATAAAGCCCGAAACCGTCGATTTAATGGATGAAAATAACAACAGGAAGAGGTCGAAGATGAATATTTACTCTCTTGTTAATACACACAGATACAGATACAGACATCAAAAAACAAAAGTGCCCGTAAAAGGCAGATTTTTGTAAGCAAACATGAAATCATATCTTTATAAAAAATTTAAGAGCTGAAATCATTGTCAAAACAACAGGTGACGGTAAAAAAACGAGTTTAAGAGGACACGTCGGAAAATGAACATCATCACTTAATAATTCGCTTTCTGGTCTACGATTGTTTTATTGCTGCTTTGAATAATAATAAAGTATGCGTTCAATCGAAACTGATTTATTTTTAATGACGCTGAGTTTAACTATACGAAGTATTTCATTTATGCTGTACTCCATATGATATCTTTAATACAGTACCATAAGGAATTATGATAAGTGTATCATGATTATGTGTTATCTATTTTATATTTTGTATAACTTTAACGGTGGTTTTTTGATTAAGAAACTCAACTATTTCAAAACGAGCAGTGGCAACACTCTACGAAAACAAAATAAAAATTTTATCTCCAATCTCCAGTGTGCCAGACTATATATCGAAAATACTAAAGATGCGCTTTTTTAAAATTATTTTGTGATATTGCTGTTGAATTGAATTTCATGGTTTAAGTGCGAAGAGCATGATATTTAATAAATAATGGTAACAGACAAAACGTTAAAAAAACGTCCTTTAGGCGTAGTATAAAATCTGAAACCTGATTTTAAAAAAATTATTATTTTTTAGTTCTTTAATATTTTTTTTTAAATTTTGTTAAAAAATAATCTGGCTCCTCAGCTGCTTTTAGAATGAGAATTCAACCGCATGCAGTTTCAGTTTCAGATCGCTGTTTTAGAATTCACATTCTATTTCATTCGAGCTCGGATTTACTTTTTAGGCTCTTAAAGTCGCTTTTCGTTCGATATAATATATGCAAAATTTTATTTCAAACCAGTTACTAATTCAATTATAGTAATTATTAACAAAAAGTTCAGGAATTCATAGGAATATGAGTTGATAAAAGTAGGCTGTATATAGTGCAGGTAGCTGATAAAAGTAGGCTGTATGTAGTTTATAAAAGAGTTGCTAACAGTAGGCCATATAGGTAAATATCTACATGCGATAGAAACGTATGAGAATTTAGATTTAAAAGAAATTTATTGATTTTATAGTTATTACTATTTGGGAAGTGACAGATTAACTATACAATAGGTATATGCCACCCGAAGGTGGAATATGTTTCATTCTTTCATTACAGCCGGAGGGCTTTCGTTTTCCAGAGAGAGGCGAAGCTCCGAGGTCAGATACAGAGATCAGATCGGAGCCTGTTATCTGTAATAAGCTCTCACCCAGATATGTAAGCTGTTTTATTGCCAATATAAATTTTAAAGTGTTTGACAGCTGCATCATTTTTACTTCCTTGTACGAAGTAAATTACGACAAATTTCGGGTATCATATTTCAACGGAAATATCCATTTTGATCATTCCCGAATCCGTTTGGACGATTATTTTGCGTGACGTCTGTACGTACGAACACCCTCCGGCGGTCGACTGGGAGTAATCCCACAGTTTTGGTTAGATCAATAGAAGGACTCATAGAGAAACATTAATCGTCTTCCCACTGACTAGAACCATCGTTTATTCTTTCAGCTTCGGCAGGGACCATATGGTATTGTCTTGTCTGCCCTTTGGTTTTGGGGAAGTTACATGGTCAAATATCGAAGGTTTTTCTTGGGGGGGGGGGTTGGCTCCCCTTGGTCAATACTGCGAGACGGTCGGTGTCTAACTGTGTACTATGCTTTTTCGGTGGATGTACAACCGTCCACCACTGACTTTGTGACTCATAAACCCAGAGTAAACGAATCAAAAATTATCCCTCTGGAATGACCCGGGGTGTATGCCTCCTTGGATTGCCTCAAGAAGTTAGGGTGTTTAACTATGTAAGTAGGGCCGCCGAGCTACCAAGGTCTGGGTGCAACTTCTCCCTAGTATACTGTACTGTACGTACGGACAGAATAAAGGATTCTTTTTTCGAAAATGGATTATAATTTGGATTTAAAATGCATTAAAAAAGACTTTTTCTATGACCTCTTTACGCACGTATGAGTACACGTATGTATGTATCTCACATAATTCAAAAACGATTAGCCGTAAGACGTTGAATTTTGTATGAAGCTGCTGCAACATCCCTTTTTCACTGCAATCCGCAGTACCAAAATATATATATATATATATAATAATGTAAGAAAAGCAAACTAATTAAACTTAAAAGGACCTGCGAGGTCAAGAATTTTGCGTTTTGAGCAACAAAATTTGAAATAAAATAAAAAGTAAATTCTTCAAGCTAAGTTGTGTGGTTTCCGCATCCGATTTTTAAAACCTACTTTAACATTATATATGATAGTGTTGCTAGGCGACTTTACATATTTTATCGCTCATTAGTAATACAACTCCATTTGTCATCCATGAAATTATAAAGTCATTACAGACGAATAAATGAAAAATGACGTATAAAAAAATTAAGAATGACTTATAAGTCAACCTGAAAAATGTTAGGAATCGGCAAACTTGATATTTTTATATTGATTGTGGATAAATGTTAATAATATTGTTCAGTTATTACATATACTTACTTAAAAACGAAACAAATATAGTGTTAATAACTAAAACACTACAGAACTAAACTGTACGATTATTTCTGTCAAATTCGAAATGTATCCCAAGCGGAAAATCAGGAAAACATTTCTACCAACAGTGAGCCAGTAAGGACACTTTATTTTTATCTCGTTAGTAGATGGTTGGTTTATGTGATTACTGCAAGCCTCGAGGGTTATCTGCCTAAGGAGAGAGATGAATTCGTGGAGGATTTTCTAAGAGAAATGGCTGGTATACACGTTACACATGGGAAAGCTACGAAAACGCCCATGCAGCCAGCCCTTTCGCGTGATTCTAATCTCGGACTGAACTACCAGTGTTCAGGGACTTTACCGCTCGACCGCTGATGGGCCCTTTCTTCGGTAGGGAAGCTCGCCACAAAATATATGCCATAGATGGCATTATTTATTTTTCGATTGAATTTGAGAATACTATTAAACTCTTAATTATTTTTATTAAGAAAATAATTAGTAAATAAATGAGTAAAATGAAGGAGATTTTTATTTTGAAACCTGAATTTTGAGGCTCTCTTGATTTCATGCTCATTGGCGGAAATCTTCCACTAGATTTTTCGGGGTAGTTTTCAGTATAAGTTTACAAAGAATATGGATGAAGAAGACAAAGAGGATGTCAATAACCATGATATTATGCAGAGTTTTACAAAAAGCAATTTCTTCCCGCTAAGTGGAGGCGGGGCGGACATTAAAAGCATTTTCAAATTTCGAAAAGTCGTATCTTCAGTTAAAGGAAAATTCCGCCAAAAAGTTAAAGGGCAGTAAGTTTTGTTTTACTAGAAAGTAGTTTCTGATACAATTTATATGTTAAAAGTAATAAATATTCTTTATTTATAATTACTATTAATTTAAGAATAGTATTCTTAAATCAATAATTCTTAGAAGTATTACATATCAAACAATTGACAAAATTCAACCAAGAAGCAAAGGAGAGTATGGATTTTTTTTAATTAAAAAGTATTTTTTAACTTTGATTTTTTTTTAACTTTTAAAATGATTTAATCATTTTCCCTCACCCATCGTTTTACCGTCCATCCCACTGAGATGAGATTTAACTGTTATTTTGGAATCCATTAAAATCTCTACAATAGCGATAGAGTCACGTTTCTAGTAACCCGATTTGAGGCACAGCTAACAATATGGAAAAAAAAAAAAAAAAAAACAGAATCACTGAGATTTCTCCTCGGAACAGGAACCGAAAACCGGTTTTTCGTCGTGCATTCCGATGCGGTAAATACAAACTGTTTCCCCGTCTCTTTTTTACGAAGGACAGGTTTCGGCGACGCTTGATTTTACTCGCAACTTCGTTTAGCCAATAGGGTGAGAGATCAAACCAGAATCTACACGTACGCTTCTGTTGTGGATCGACTGACGTGTGTAGTTTGAAATGTCTCTTTAATCGCTGTTCTATGCTGGTCGGTGTGGTGTTTTAATAAAATAAATACTGAATTCTAATGCGAATATTTATGCTGTGACAATTATTCAGTTCCTCATGTTAGCAACATCGTGAAGGATACTTTTTTTTTTCGCCTTTATTTTGACTATTTTCTGGACGAGATAAATGCTTGCTTTGGCGTTTTAGTTCCGTAGGTAAGGCAATTTTGTTTTAAAATTTGTTCTGTAGGTAGTAGTATTGTTAAACATGTAGAAGAGAAAGATGTATGCAATTTAAAAATGTGTTTGTTTATTCTATAGTGTTAAAGTGCTCATTACGATTTTGTTTATAAATTTGATAAAACATTTTCTGTACAATATACAATAATATAATGGTATTTCCAAAACAATATTTTAAAGAAAATGTCCGTTGCAATCTGTTTGCATGTAAATGCCGAATCTGCATAATATGTAAATAGATGCTGGTCAGTAAACGCATGAAGTCTGTCGAGATGATTTAAACGAAAAACGAAACATTCAGAGTGGTGGACAGAAAACTTACTGTTTACCACAATTTTAGAATTCTTTGAAATTCGATTGTAAATTCTGAACCAGAAGCGGAATTTCGAAAAACCAGAATTTTGGAAAAAGAAACCTTTTTGGATTTTACTTAATTGCTTAAAATTTTGTATTAATATAAACGCGCTTTAAATAATATTCGTCATAAGATTATAAATGAGGTGTCAAGAATTAATTGTGAAATTTATTGCATATATTCCACTAATTAATATATCAAAATGATATCACTCAGAGTGTTTTAAATTGTTTAAGAATCTTATCAAAATACCATAAATCAATGTACCAACATAAATATAAGTTTTATTTACACTAGAGCCGTGGTTCTGAACCTTTTGACTAACGCGTACCATCTAAACAAAAACTGAAAACGTTTAGTACCACCACTACAAATTACTACTACAACCACCACTCTCGAACAAAGCTCAGATCGCATAAATTTACGAGTGTTAGAGAAAAACTTCAGTCAGGATGTTGGGTTAATTTTTAAATTTAATAGTTATAAATACTTTGCTTGCTGCCTAGAGCGATGTATAAATGAATTTTTTAACGCGTTACTTTCAAGATATTCATTCATGAAATCATTCTGCTAATTTCCAGATGTTCCTGTTTGTAAACTTTTAAAACTTGATAATTGTTTTAGTACCCTCAATTTAAGTGATTTCATTTCTACAGAATAATCTCTGCCAAGCACAATTCTATCACTTCTTATTTATTTTCGATTTATTGAATAAAAGGTAAAGGGCTGTCTGCATATAAGCATTCTGTACCGCACCACGCGCATAGGGAAAATACATTCTCGGGACTGGGTTTAGGGGCGAGAGTACACCTCTATACCATTTGTTTACATTTTGGTAGCAGTATCGAAAAGATTATTACTGTTAATGACGCGCGCTGTATTTTTGGTGCCATGAGATTTCACATCGTACGGCACATAGTATGATGAATTAAATTAAAAAATTGTAATGAATTTTTTCCCTAGAGAGAAAAAGTATCATTTCTTCTAGTGTGCTAAATCCGTGAATGTGTATTAGTATTCGATGCAGAAATTTTTAATAAATGTATTCTTAATTTAAAACTGTTCATAGTAAAGGTGTGGGGATTATTATCTAATTCATTATTTCATGTTCATTATATATCCATTCTCTGCAGATGCAATCTCCGAAAATATGGGTCAGTTGTCGCAGATTGCAAAAATATTGTGAGTTAACATAATACATAGTTCACTATATTTGTAATTAGTCAGGATAAGTAAAATTTATTTTTGAAGTTAGACTACTATAGATTTGTATTAGAGAAATAAAGATACGTATGTTTAAATTGAATAATATTAGTTTATGAATATTGCCCATTTTTAATGTGTAATATCTTTCGTACCTTTCTGTAAAAATTGTGTTTATCAGAAAAGGAAGTTCCATTCCTTATACACGTGTATTAAATTCAGCGACTATACTGAATGCACTTTCTTCTTTAATTTAAGGGAACAGAATACTAGAAATGGGAAAGACATGGATACTAACATGGAAATAATATATGCATTTGCAAAGGAAATATTTTCTGCAATGTGAAAGGAAACAAACGTAACAAAATTGCAATAATAATATACTTACGAGCACACACTGCTCGTAAGTATATTATTGCTTTACAGTTGGGTCGAAATCGTTGGGTAATCCAGTGTGTTTTAGTTTTTGTGCTAAATTCTAGAACTTGCTATTTATACAATCTAAGTGCTTAAGTGTGCGTCTGGTATTAACAGCATCTTTAAAAGGATTTTATAATTTTATTATTCCATAAAACAGGAAGCCATCTGCAGAACGCTGTAAGTCTTTTTCGTCTGGCATTATTGTTAAAAGAAAACAAAAGGTAATTTTTACATTTCCGTGTCACTCATGCGCGTCATTCAGCGAAAACAAAACCGTAAGAATCCCTCCTAAACGTCAATACGCCAAGAGAAAATGATGTCATAGGAAAGTATGTCCAGTCACAAGCATTACCTATGTGCGTGGCGCGGTACAGAATGCTTATATGCGAGCTGCCTTAAAAGTTTGTTACTATGGTGTGATATTTTGCAATGGATTTACGAGCGTTGCCTATTAGAGTTACTCTTTTAGCAGTGCTAGTTGGGGGGGGGGCGGGGGAACAGACATGAAAGAAATGATATTACGTTTTATTTGAATTGTAATATTAGTAAATAGTAATATATTACTTTTGCTGTATTAGGTATTGAATTAATTTCATTTAAATTTGTTTCTGTGTATTTTTATTTCATATGAAAGGAAAGCGACTGTGTAGAAGAGACATTCAGAATTATCGGATGAAATGTTATAATCAAATAATTAAAAATGGTTCATCAGCTAATTTTGGACGAACAGAAACACGGTGGTTTTCCTCGGACGAGGTGTTCAACTGAATCTGATCTTACATCTTTTTGATAACCGTCGAATCAGAATTTAACCGTTTGAGTCCGGCGCGCGCTTAACTTGTTGTATGCCAAAAATACGAGGCAACGCGATAGCGCTTCTCTTGTTTTGTATCGAGAATGCGAAGACGCTGCTGTTGGTTAGTATACATGAAACAAATATTATTGAAAATTGAAAAAAAAATTATTGAAATATTCAATTGGTTTCTCATCAGGAGGAGGAGCATGCCTTGTTCCATGTACTTCAGAAAAAGTATTCGATTCGTTCGAAAAAATTGTATCCACGGGTAAAAACTCATCAATAATATCGTCATCGGAGGTACCTGCAGTTACTTCATCATCATCATCACTGCTATCACTAATAACTCGTAATCTCTTAGAACGAATGATGATGTCACTTCCACTATCACTTTCAAGGTCATTACTATACTCTTCATTATCACTTCTCATACATAACATAGTCACTTTCAAATGAATCAGAACTTGACATGGGTTATTTCGTAATTATTAGTATAACACTTGGTAAAAAAATGAAAACAATTTCCAATTCCTATAAAACAACTGCTACTGATATCACTACAACTGGCTCTCAATAATTGCGTAAAGTATACTAACCAAAAGCAGCATCATCGCATTCTCGATACAAAACAAGAGAAGCGCTATCGTGCTGCGCCGTATTTTTGGCATACTACAAGTGAAGCGCGATAGCGCTTCGCCGGACTCAAACGGTTAAGCGTATTTCTTTAATATGTACTTTTATGTATTTCTATTGTTTTCGGGATTTCTTCTGGTTTAAAAACACGGAGTTGATGGGGTTTTTTTTTTTACATTTTTTGTTGGGAGTTTTAGGGATTTTACTGGTTTAAATTTAATTTCTTTTTATGCCTTTGTGGTTTTAGTTCTAAACTTCTTAGTATTTTGTTTGTAACTGATTAATTTTTCAGCAGCATATTACACGGGAATAATATTGAAATAAATTTTGGCGATAATGTTTATAAACATTTTAATGCAATTAAAAATAAATATAACTCCTATTAAATGGTGCATATCTGGCCAATATATATTTCAAATATCAGAAAGATAAGAATCAGTGTGCAAGTTAAATTTCTAAGTTAAAATGCAGGTATAATAGACTTATTTCTTTAAATTATTTATTTCTTATATTCTTTAAAAATTAATCCCCGAGAACCGAAAACCTCAAAAGCTTATATGTGAGCTCACGTATTCAAAAAGGCAAAGCTGAGCCCACCCGGCCAGTGCCCGACCGGTTACGACTGCTAAACAGTGGTAGTTCGACCCTGGTTCAAATTCCGGCGAGTGTGCTGGTTGCATAGGCGCTTTCACATTTATGCAGTAGTTTGCGTAGTTTTTTCCATGTGTAATGTGAATGAAAGTAATTTTATCTTGGGAAGAACTTTCAAGAAGGCATCCTTCCTATTAGGCAGATAGCCGCCCCCCCCCAAGTGCTTTTCCAAAATCAAATAAACCAAACTAAATCGAAATCGCAGAGCCAAACACGGCACTATTCTGTTATTGGAAGCATATTCACAAATGTCTGCGCGTGTGGATTTATACATACATTCATGCTTACATGCACACATGAACACATACGTGCATTTCTGGATCCTATTCTCTGATAACAGAATAGCGCTCCAAACAGCACGGGGAGCAAAAATTTGTGATTTAGTTCATCACCATTTATTTAAACGCAACGCAAAAATAATACATTTATTTAATAACGAAAATATCCCCCCCATTGGCGGTTTCTAGCCGTTTCTAGCCGTATTAAATAAATTATTTTGTATTATCACTTTGTATTTGGCATGTTCAAATAACAATAACCTTTGTATTACTGATTATTTGAACACGCCACTTGGAATGTCTTCACGGAGGAATTTCTGAGAAAAAAATGGCTTGTATTCGTCTCATTCAAGGCCTTTGTCATTTGCGTATGAAGTTGTATATAAGATTACAAGGAAAGTGAAGCGAATGGCGAACAGAATAATAGTTTTAAATTTTTTTAAAATTTTATAGTTTTTAAAATGTCAAACTTCCATTTTAAAGCCCTCGGCAATGTCGTATTATTACACATTAGTCATCATTCAATCATTATCAGTCACCTAAAAAAACATTATTCTAGTAAAGCTTGAATTCATGTGAAGTTTGAAAGAGTAACTATTGATGTAATTTTCTGTTAAAGCCATACAATACATTTTCGGCGTTCCTTTCTTTCCCACACCTTTAGTTCAATACCATATGAAACGGAACGATCAAGAATAAGAAAAAAATTTTCTTTAATTCACGACAGAATCCTCCAAAAAAAAAAAAAAAAAAAAAAAAAAAAAAAATTATGGGGAGGGGAGAGAACACGGCCTACTTTTCCCCCCTCCTTTTTGTGAATAAGCTTTCGTCGCTTTCCACAATTTGGCTACTGCCCTTGATTTTAACGTTAGATGAAATAACAAAGAATTGACACATATCTCTGTAATGTAATTATTCCAGTCAGCTGTTGGAATCCACCAGCGGCGGAGCGGTAAAGTCGTTGAACACTGGGAGTTCAGTCCGATGTTCGAACCAGGTGAACAGGCTTGTCTGCTTGGGCTTTTTCGTGGTTTTTCCTAAGTGTAACTTGTATACGAGCCCAGTTTCCCTTAGAATTTCTCCATGAAGGAATTTCTTCAGTTAGGAAGATAGCCCTAGTGTGCTTTGCCGTAACCAAATAAATCAAATCAATCAACTTTTGTGCTATGATTCGTTTAAAGCAAGCTTCGATTTGCAAAATTGAATAGACAACTTCTGATATAATACATAACTGAAATTGTTTGGCATTAGTGAATGGAATGCATGATCCAACACTTCGTGTTCAGAATACCATTTCTTCCTGGCATGAACGAATGCTACGTAGCCATTTCGCCTGCGAGTCGCGTTTTAGTTTCATGAAGTATTTATTCCAATGCAATCCGTCTTTGTAAAGAATATCTTTTCCTTGAAGAAAAAAAAAAAAAAAAAAAAAAAAAAAAAAAAAAAAAAAAAAAAAAAAAAAAAAAACACGGTAGCTACTTGTTCACTTGTTGGCAAATCCATTGCCGTTAAGAAAAAAAGATTAAAAATGATTTGATGAAAACCGTGGCTGCGCGGGCGACATTTATAAAAGCAGTTACAACCAAGAAACTGGCGACACCTGGAACATCCTCCCCCCAAATAAAAATACAGCAGAACAAACAAACAAACAAACAAACAAAAAAAAAAAAAAAAAAAAAACAGTACCCAGGCTTTGATGGGACCCTATGGAAAAGCCATGATCATCAAGTTCAAAATTTGCTGAAAAGCCTGCCATCAAGTTTAAACCTCATGCGGGCAATATTTTATTGGATATAAATGAATTACGCGAATAAAATGCTAACGGACTGCAGCTGTAACCTAGACTGTAAAAGAATCAGGAGATCTGTATTTAACCGGGTGACGTTGCAATATATCTTGAGTCATCATGGAGCTCTTAGCAACGACAACTCTTCAACAATGACAGATTTCATTGTAATGTTGGTTATCGCCCTATCCTCCACGGGTCATTTAGAATTTGTTCTTTCATTCTGCCAAGTTAAATAACGGCGGTAAAATAAAACTGAAGACAGTATTTAGACTTTCTAAGGTAACAGACAAAAAACAAATAAAGAACACTTTTTGAGGAAAAGGATGTAGTCTCGAATTATCCAAGGTCTAGTGCTGCTGCCCATTTTAGATTTTTAACGGATCATCACTGTTTGCCAGTTCATCTCTATCGGATGGGCTTGGATGGTTCTTTTTTTTTTTTTTTTTTTTTTTTTTTTTTTGTCGAGTGACTTGTGTACCAAATCGTTTTCAAATTTGGATGCGTGTATTGCATTTGTGATTGTGATGAACTTGCACAAGTACTGGAAGGCTCGACACCACATGGCGTCGCGTCATAGTCTTAGCATTTGCCAGCAATACGTGTTCTGAATTTTATGATACGATTTTTAGCTGCAAACTTCTTTATCGAAATTTAAAGTACTGTAAATTCTTTTATTTACTTCATCAAATAGTACATTTATATCCAAAGTTAATAACATATTTAAAAGTCAAAGATTTTTAACCGAAAATGGCACCCCTTTTTAAACATCTCGAAGATATGTTTACTGTTTTCAATAAATGAAATTTTTGCGCCCTAACAAAATAACATTTTTAACTACATGAGAGAAAAACTGAGGTATGTAGGAAAAATGACAATTATTCCTACATGTAGGAAATATTCTTTGCAAGACTCGTTCGTTCTCAAGCAGTTTAGCGAAATAAATGCAGAGCTACGTTTTGAATAAACGTTTTCTTTTTTTAAATAAGTCTCAGCGTGACGTTGATTTATAAAGAAACAATGTGGCAGTATTTTTGTATTCCATTTGGCTGTCTCACTTTGAACAACTTGTTTTCAATAAAAGGATTTTATTCTGCATCTTCAGTTTCTTGGTAGGAAGGCGTAAACAACTATTTGGCTTAAAACTTTGTTTGTGTGTGTGTGTGTGTGTGTGTGTGTGTGAAAATTTATAAAGTTAATTAACCAAGATCAGATTCGAGGTATTGTTAGATTGTAATCTGAAGTTGTTAGTTTGCAATTTCTTTCTGTGTGCAAGAAGTTAGTGTATACGAAAACACTAATTCATACAAAATTTTGCTGTAACGTCACCTGATGCCTAAGAGCCTTCTGTACCTAATGAAACATTAAGATACTTAGCTATAGAAAGCATGAACCTAGACAATAAAACTTACAATATTAACTTTACTAAATTTTCTGCGTTGGATAATCATGAAATTCCATATTTATTTTAAGATAATGACGGTCTGCTGTATTCGGTTGTTGAATAACAATCGTTTTACGGGACTCGGTACGTCGAAGCTTGACGTTTTACAGAAAATACCGTTTATAAGTTATGAGTTTCGTTTCAACTTTCATATTTTGAATACATTTTAATAATTAAGGCATCATTTAAGTAATCACTAAACCCTATACCATAATGAAAATTGGTATTTACGTTTTATCGCAACTACCTTAGTAGAAATCGCCAAAGCTTCAGAAGGCATCACACTCTGGTAACTACGCGCATAACAATTATTTAAGCAACCATGGGCGTCGTAAATAGCCAGTTTCCAATGTCGCCATTCTCGTATGCCTTCTTTTTTATTGTATTTCGATTTCCAATGGTTTTTTATAGAAATTATCGTTATATTTTGTCTTAAATTCGATTTTTAGATTTGTCCTTGCAGGACTGTTCTTTAATACAAGAAAGAGAGGTGAAATTTCTGCAGGAATACATTATTTTATAGCAAAATCGCTGAAAGAACAATGCATCGAATTCTTTCTCAAAAGGGGCCCACCCAGCGGCAGATCGGTAAAGTCGTTGAACATTGGTAGTTCGGTCCATGGTTCGAATTCCGCAAAAGGGCACCCCTTTTTAAACATCTCGAAGATGGCACCCCTTTTTAAACATCATTCATTTATTGGCCGTTTCCGTGGTTTTCCCCATGTATACGAGCCAGTTTCCCACGAAGGCATCCCTTCCCTTAGGCAGATAGCCTTCGAAGCCTTGACATGATCACATAAACCAAAACTCTCTCAAAGGGATCGCACGAAATTCCCATCATAACAAAATCAAAAACCCCTTTTATAACTAGGTTTACTGATCGTCTTCTGGAATGAATATATAGTTGAAATTGAGAATATGTAGTTTGGAAATAAGGCATAATTTTTAAGAATAACAGTAATTGTACATTTTTATCCATAAAATCCGGCAAACTGAACCAAGAAAGGTTGCGGTAAAGCTCAAAACTAGCGTGAGACTTATAATTAAGCATCTATCATGAGTGAGTACAAACCTTTTACAGCGAAAACCGGACGAATTTATGGCTAATTTTTATATATGATTTGATGCGTCTTCCGTGACGTAGTGTTAAATTACTGAGATTTGATTAAAATAATGTTAAAAAAATTAAATTTCATACAAAATATATGAAATATTTAAGCACACCTTTTCAATTCAGTTCTTGACTTTTTAGGTGTAAAACTGAGTTGTGTAGTCTGCCACCATGAAGGATCTGAAAGCAGTTCCTGACCCAATGGGTAAGTGGATAATTCTTTCTTAATCTATGACTTTTTTAATTGACTTTGATCCACAGCTTTGGTTTTATTAACTTTCATTTGATTTTATAAGGAAACATGAATACCAAAACAATTATGCTTCAGATGTAACAATACGTAGACAAGTAATTATTCTTGATGGTTTTCTTGTGACATTCTACAAAATGCAAAATCGATATAACAGACTGAAAGATTAAAATATTCGCATACAGAAATAAAAATATGGTACTCTTCTGTTATCGGGACCAGATTAAGAAATTTATGCATGTATGCACGTGTGTATCTATGTAGGAGCGTATAAATATGTGCGTGTATACACACATACATACATATGCATGCATACATGAATACATCCATCCATACGTACATACATTTACGAATCCGGTTTCGATAACAGAAAAGTACCTAAAATCTAGGCATAGACCCATCTCGGACTTCTTTCTCAGTATGAGGTAGATAAAACGATATTTACAAGAATCGTTTGGAATTCCGATTGCACATAACGATCGCAGAATAAAGCCAGTAATACAAAAAATTCCCTTAACTTTGTAAGAGAATTTTTTAATGGAAACCGCTTACTTTGAAACTCTTGCTATCCTGAACAGAGCAAGAAAGTGAAAGGGACTGTAAAAAAGTTTGCGTTTTCAGTCTAAAGATCGGAAATAACATTTTGTGTATTTTTCATTTCCATAGTAGGAATGAAGGTATAGTTTAAAAAAAATTACGCAATGAAAGTAAAATTTTTTTACTCTCAGATTTTTATTATCAGCTGCATTCTAGATATTGATTCCAATGCAATTTTTTTTTTTGAAAATTAATTTCTTCTTAATATATTATACAATTTGCACTTCTTTTTAAGTCACGAATTCAAACTTTATGTGAATATTTTTATTTGTTTGGAACCAAAAGCTGAGTGGTTAAAGCCACGAAGCACTGGTAATTCATCCTGGACTTTGTTCTTGGTGGGGATGAATCGGGTTGGTTATATGAAGTTTTGGGGTTTATCTCATGTGTAACATAAACTAGTTTTTCCGAGATATAATCTCCACGAAGGGCTGCGCAGCCAGTATAGTGGTTATTGGACCCTGACTACCGTAGCGATGGGCACGGGTTCGAGTCCCGGAGAAGTTATGGTTGTAACTGTCTTTTCGTAGGACGCTACGGTGTAGTGGCCCAAACCTAATGGCTATTAAATAAAGCACCCGGCCATTAAAAACAATTCTTCACGAAGGCGTACGTTCCCTTAAGCAAATCGTCCTTGGCATGATCAGTAACTAACCATCCAATGAAAACAAGCAATATAAAAAAAAAATATTTTGAAGTTAATTCCTACTTAGGTCAACAAAGAAAAATTTTATTTTAGTTACTTTTTATTAACATTTTTTCGTGGAAGGAACCTTTCCAGTGAGTTTGGAGCAGTCCAGTTTTTCAGTTAATATTCTATCTAAAGATTTCACACGACTGAAGGCGACATATGCTTGACCTGCTGCGAAGGGTTTTCGTCTCCTTTTCAACCACTTTTTTTTTAAAGTTTTCCATAATTGATTACTGCATAATCTACTTTTGTTTCATTTGACAGAAACAAAAGTACATTACAAAGTTTCATTACAAAGTCTGTAATCCGGACCTCAAAGCCACAAACTTTACGCATGCGCGCAGAGAATGCGCATTCATTACACATGAGCATAGAAAATGCGCATACATCACGCATGCGCGCGTTGAAAGAAATGTTTAATAAAGTAAACAAATAAATATTAAGCTTTTTTTTTTTTTTTTTTTTTTTTTTTTTTTTTGTAAAGTTTGATACCCTTTAGATCATAATTGCTCTTTATTTCATAAATTTCGATTTCATATTTATAATTGTATAATTTCTGCATGGCATCTTACCAGATTTAAATTAATGATCTATAATCCGGAAAAAACCCCTAATCGGAAATCGCCGAAGTCCCGACGAGTCCGGATTACGGACTTTGTACTCTATAATTCTTTCTCTAATCGTTGCTTGCATTATGTGGTGGTTTCCTTTCGCATTCTCCGTTTGTGAAGCAAGGAACATTTTAAAGGGTTATATTTTAAACGTATATTATCACGTTAACATAGAAATATGGGGAGAATTTTCGCTACATTAATGGGATATTACATCCGCTTCATCCAATTCTATAAAACTACAACTCTTTAATTCCATACACTTTAAAAATCTTTAGAACTCTTGTCTTACTGTTGCCACTTATTTTTGTTAAATATTACAATCCCATTTATCACAGTCATGTACTATTATTTATAAGTTGTTATAAAATTAATTTTTGCAACACGTGAGAATTCCTGGTTATTATTTGTAAGTCTTATGATATATTTAATAAAAACAGCATATCTTTAGTTCCGATAAACAGGAATAAATAAGTAGAAATTGACTTTAATATGTGGGAAAATTGTATTAACATCATCCACTACAAGTTTAAAAAAAAAATGGATTAGAACTTGAGTGGATGAATAAAAAGTATTATATTGACGAGTGAAAATTTGAATAAGATATAGAGAGAGTGTGAGCTAATAGTAGGAATTTAATAAAAGAAGTTGGTTTAATTATAGGCAATTGTAGATTGCAGCGCTTCTTATCAGATCGTTGCATTTATAGTGATTTTCAAGTTAATAACTGTTAGATTTTCAGTTACGGATGCGAAAAAAAATTCATTGACTTACATGATATTTTTAATAGTTTGCTTTTCATCAGTAAGCATTATTTTTTTACAAATCAATCTTCCAGTAGCTAGAGTAGATAAGATAGTCGAGTACTGATAATTCGATTCTGCTGAGAATTGGCTGCATGAGGTTTTTTTGTGATTTGCCCTGATTTTAACGAGCTCTGTACAAAGATTATTTTAATGGTTGTCGAGTGAATCTTCATAGTATAATCGGGCATATTTCAGCATTTAGAAGAAACTGGGTTTTATTACTCATCCTTATCATGGCATGCACCACTATGCCTCATCATGTCATGCATATCATGCTTTACATCTCCTTATGCCAGTACCCCTATTCATTTTTTGGTATATCTTAATTGGTTTTTATGTTTTTACTTTGGTTCAATTGTTTTATAATATTCATGTATTCTCATCATTTCATAACATTCATCTATTGTGCCGTTATATCATTTTGGTTTTAGAATTCCCTACATTATTATGCAATATGATGCAGCTTCACAAATATGTATGGCGCATCATAACCTTCTAGGTTATGCGCTAGTAAATTTACTACACTCTTACCACATTTTTTGCGATTTCTCCATGTGTAACTGGAATCCGGCACATAAGCATCCCTTTCTTTTAACAAATAATTCTCTAGTGCTTTATTATAATGAACTAAATATTTTGCATATCATGACAATAAAACAAAATTCAGTGAGGTACATTCACAGTGCAACCCAACTATGCTAAACAAAAAACAGGAATGTCGAAAAAATGTTAAGAAGATTGTGAAACACTTATTGTCATCATTCAGTCCTAGATAGCAACTACAACGTTAAATATTCTCATATATCAGGTAGCTTGGTTTTATTCCTTCTATTTATTACAAATTTATTCAAGAGGCTGGAAATTAATTAGGTTTACGTTTGATGTAATTGTGGTAAACGCCTCAAGGGCTATCTGCCTAAGTGGATGGATGCCTTCGTGGAGGATTTTCTAAAAACACTAGCTCATATACACGTTACATACGGGGAAAACCACGAAACCGCCCACGCAGCCAGCCCGTTCACAGACCTCTGACCGAACTACCAGTGTTCAGCAACTTTACCGCTCGCCCGCTGGTGGGTCCAGAATTAATTAGGACTTAGTATGAAGGACAATTCAGATAAGTATTTTTTATTGACGAGGGAATTTCAACATAACGTAACAACTCAGTATGTCGAAAATGTCTCGAGCGCTAAAAGCCAAACAGCAAATAAATACTATTTAGGAAGAATTTTAACCCACGGTATATTATGTATTTATTAGCGGTAAATGCAAAAATAATTGTGAAATGCTGTCATTTCTCACCACTGAGGTTTATAACATTTACATTATCGAAACTCTGTTTTGAGGAAGCTACTATATAAATTACTAGAATATATTGCTGCACTGCCATCACAAAAAGTGTCCAAAGTGATCATTATAATTCCTTTTAAGATAGATGAAACCTTTTCACTTATAAACATTTTTTAGCTTATTTTGATTATATGCAGTAATGATGTGTGTCTGTCTAAATGAAGGGATGCCGTCATGGAAGACTCTACAACTGAAACTGGTTTGTATTGACGTTGCGCATGGGATTAAGGAGAACTGGAATCAAATGTGAATCAGAATTATTGCTGAAAGAATATGAACATTGCAGAAGTGGTTGAAAAAATGGGTACTGAGGTATTAATGCAATCGCCTTGGCGCAATCTGGCGATCTTTTACTGTTGAAAAGATTAAAAACAGCCATATAGGCTGCGTACTAATGATTTTTAACAATTTTTTTTTAAAGATTTCCTTAATTGATTTGCATATTTTCTGTTATTGTAAGTCGGCAAATTTTTATCATATCAAGAGAAAACACACTTACTAATTTAATTACTAAATAAGGATTATATGGTACAAAAAACATTTTTTGCTAAATTGTTCTATAGATTTTTTTTCTTTGTTCTTCTCTCTGCGCACATAGCGATCGCTTTTAAAAAAAGAATCAGAAACTGCACAAACCTGGCATTTTGCACAACTTCGGCATTGTCAACAGGCTATTTATGAAATACATTTCATATAAAACGCGTACGAAAATGGCAATGTTGTTTGACTCAGTTTGTTATAAGTATGGTTGCATGAAGAATACGTATGCTCACGACTGCCAAAGTTTGGTACATTCTCGTAATTTGGCGACTTCTACTTTGATGTTTGCGATAATACGTAAGTGCCAAAAAGTTGTTTATAAGCTTGGTGTAGTATCTTCTGCACATCAGCTAGAATTAA